GGCACAGCGGTATGTCTGCGGACTTACAACACTAGAATTCGGGTTTCGATACCCGTGGTGGGCAGAGCACACATAGCCCATTGTGTAGCTTTGTGCTTAATTATAAAAACAAACAAGCAAAAATAAATTATTATAAATTCTGTTATTTCAGTACAAAAGACTTATAATGTTTACTGAAAGCTTACCAAATTTCGTGGAGATGCGTAAAACGTATTGTATCGCACGATGTATCGATGCAATCGTATTACGGCTCCACGATACGATACTTGTATCGTATCGCCACACCTTTAGTTTTTATATGTGAAATACGCGAGTGATAATTATTTCAAGTATGGAACTGTTTGTAGGTGTATACGACCAAATGAAGAGAAGTATTTAATATTGAACTGTTTGCAAGTGTATACCACCAAGTGAAGGGAAATAGTGAAATTGTACTAAATAATATAAACATTCTATTCGTGAACATGGCCCTGAAGAGGGAAGTAAATATCAGTGTTTCTACTTGATGTTTTATATTAGTGGTCCAGCCTTTATTTCTAGACTAACTCTATAGCATTTCGACAGTTTAATATCAACAGTCAAGGAAGCAGAAAGAGGTCTGAATTGAAACTGACCCTCCCAGGTCTTGCACAACGATCAAAATACCGACACAGACCAGATGTTTTTGAAAAGAACGAATTACGTACAACGTCTGATTGGCAACAACAAGGGTGCAACAACCGAAAAGGTACTCCAAATTTATAAAACATACATATTCCCAGTGGTAGAGAATGTCTGTTCAGCATGGTTAAATGTACTCAAATCACATATACACAAGTTACAGACAATCCAAAATTCAATAAGCACTAAAGCACACACAGTTCCTACATAATTATGCAAACATCCCCATGTTGTCAGACAGACTTCAAAATAGTTCAATGGATTACTTCCGCAAAAATCTTAACAAAAATACATCATTAAGAACCCTGAAAAACTTTATCATACCACTAAATCTAGTAAACTCTTTATGTAACCTATGGCCACCTACTACTGGGCAAACTGGCAGCTAGAAATAGTGTTAATTTAATTTTAAAAGGATTTTTATGTTTAAAAATAAGATTAGTGCTGTATGTTTTTGTTTGTTTGTTTTTTCCATCGATATTTATGGATTTGTTTGTGTGAACAAAACTTTAGGTAGACAACAAACGAGAAAAAACGAAATACTTAAAAGAAAATAGAAAAATCTACGTTGTACATTCATGTACATGGCCTGAAAAGGACCATTCACATGTGCGAATAAACAATTGTAGCGGGTATGCAGCGGCTGCATGATATAATAATGAGTTTTCCTAATTACCACGCCGAACCATACCTGAAAACTAATGTAAGCTTCATCCACGGCAATCATTAACTAAACCAACACTCAAGGAGGGAACTAAAGGACCAGGGTGTACCTGATCCTTTTAGGTCACTGCACCAAAAGAATGACCAAAGATCAGAGGTTGCAAAGGTTAGGGAGGAAGAGGTCTGAATAGAGCCTGACCCTCTCAGGTAGCACACAACGACCAAAGTACCGATCCAGAAAAGACGATTGCAGATGTTTTGTCTTTTTAACAGGTGTATGACATAAGCACGGAAATAAGGCAATATTTTTGTGTAAGTAATCAAATTTTGCCATTTGAAATCCTTACAAATGATTAAGTTTTATATTCAACAGTTTGGTAATTATTATTACTAAGTAAATGTC